CTTGAAACATGAAAAATGAGTGGACTTCACGACTCACCGGAGACTCAAAAATATGGCCACCAGTACTTTGTTCCCAGAGTTTGGTTACAAAGTTTTAGTTTGGTGGTGTTTTTTTATTTTAAGGAAGTTTCAAGTAAAGAAAGATCCCTATAAAATAGATTTTTATATGAATTTCCTTAATTCAAAGACCACATTTTAGCTGCCCACATAATCATGAACATATCTAGCAAGAAAACTTGAAAAATACTAAGCATTTGGTGAAACAATGAATTCTTAAATGAATTTCACATATGTAGCTGTGACTATATGGGGGGGTGCTCATCAGTGAAACAATCTCGTCTTAGCTCTAGATTCTATTTTCATACATCACAGAAGTGCTGTGTAGTTAGGTCTGTTTGTTTCAGTTCAGTCAAGAACTAAGAAATAGTATGGAGCAGCTTAGTCTTCCATAATTTTGCTTGTCTTCATTTGTCCTGTTTAGTGCCAAATGTGTTCTATTTTTAAAAGCAAGACAGAGAGAGTTGAGGCATGCACATACTCTCTCACAGATTTCATAATCGCATTTTGGGACTTAAAAATGTACCAAACTCCTGATGAAATATATCCAATCCAATTAAATATATTCCATCTTTTAGACAGAAATGTCAAGCTTAGCACCCATCATTAATTTATATCGCTGTTTTACCCAGTGCTTAAAAAATGATGTCTCTTCAGTCCTCACTTTAAATAAAATCCAATTATAAAAGGAAGGATTGGCTAGCCAAAAATAAAGCTATTTAGAGCAAATTTATAGGTCAGTAGGCTAGCACTGATAATTATACAATATCATTGTTGACTTTGAACTTCTTATGGATTAAAAAGTACATGATTTCTTTCCCTCAGCAAGACACATCAGAGATATTTGCCCCTATTGTATCTAAAAGTTTTGTGATAATTTGAATTGAATATTTGTCCTCTCATATTAATTGCTTTTCTGTGGTCAATAAGTCTTTTACAAACCTGTCTACTCATTTCTTTCCTACTTAGTTTTTCCCTTTACATTATGAAATGTATGGAATGAGCCATGTAAAGCTGTCACCATCAATGTTTTTATCTGGTAATATTAAATATTTTTTAACTTAAAATACACTGCTTAGTTCTATTCGCTCTTTATTTTAGATGTGTTAGATAGTAATTGTTTTTAAAATTTGTGAAGTAGTGTTTCTATTTTCATTTTCATTGTTTTCTTTATATGAAAGTTGTATAATCTTAAACACTAAAAATGTTTAAATGAAAATGGAATTGTAAAAAGCATAATGATATATTTCTATTTATGTAGGCTTTTTTATGTACATAATAGCTTTATTGAGATATAATTTACATATCAAGTAATTCACCACTTAAAGTGTACCATTTAGTGGTCTTTAATATATTCATAGAGTTGTGCAACTGTCACCACAATTTTGGAACATTTTCATTACCACAAAAAGAAACCCCATACTCATTAGCAGTCACTCCCCATCTCCCCCATGTATTAGTTCCCTATGGCTCCTACAACAAATAACCACAAACTTGGTGGCTTAAAACGGCAGAAATTTATTCTTCCTCAGCTCAGGAGGCCAGAAGTCCTGCATCAGGTGTTGTCAGGGTTGCTTCCCTTTGGAGGCTGAGGCGGAAATCCCCCAAGCCTCTCCCCTGGCTTCTGGTGGCTGCCGGCATCCTTGTTCGTTGGCCTATAACTGCCTCACTTCATTCGCTGCCTCTGTCTTTACATGGCCTTCCCAGTGCGTCTCTCTGTGGCTTTCCGTGGTGTTATAAGGACAACAGTCCTTGGATTTAGCCCCCCCGCCACATCCAGTATCACCTCATCTAAACTGATGACATCTGCAAAGACCCTTTTTCCAGATAAGGTCACACTTGGAAGTTCTGGGTGGATGTGAATTTTGGGGAGGCATTATTCAACCCAGTCATATCCTGCAAACACCCAGCTCTGGGTAACCATTAATCTTCCTCTAGGTTTGCCCACTCTGAACATTTTTATCTTGGGTATTGAATTTTTCACTCCATTGGGGGGGAAAAGGTGTCATGAGAAAACATAAATCTCCATTGAGGAACGTCTACAAAATAACAAGCTATAATCTTTACTAGTGTTAAGGTCATGAGAGTCAAGGAAAGACTGAGAAAATGTTCCAGAATGAAGGAGATTAAAGAAATATGAGTAAGGCAATATATGGTCAATTAACATAAGACAGAGGAGGCAAGAACATACGATAGGGTAAAGACAGCCTATTCAATAGATGCTGCTGGGAAAATGGGACAGATACGTGCAAAAACATGAAACTAGACCACCACTTTACACCATATACAAGAATAAACTCAAAATGGATTAAAGACTTAAATGTGAGACTCAAAACCATAAAACTCCTAGGAGAAAATATAGGCAGTAAACTCTCTGACATTTCTCTTAGCAATAGTTTTTCTGATAATTCCTCCAGCAAGGGGGGAAAGGGGAGGACTACATCAAACTTAAACATTTTTGCACAGCACAAGAAGCCAACAACATGAAAAGACAACCTACTAAATGGAAGAAGATACTCACCAATGATACATCTTATAAAGGATTAATATCCAAAATTTATAGAGAACTTACACGACTCAACACCAAAAACTATCCCATTTTTTAAAAACAGGCAGAGGACCTGAATAAACACTTCTCCAAAGAGGACATACAAGTGGCCAGTCGATATATGAAAAGATGCTCAACAGCACTAGTCATCAGAGATGCAAATTAAAACCACAATGAGGTATCACCTCCCACCTGTCAGAATGGCTGCCGTCAATAAATCAACAAGTGTCAGGAGGGTGTGGAGAAAAGGGAGCCTTCGTGCTCTGTTGGTGGGAATGCAGACTGGTGCAGCCACCATGGAAAGCAGAATGGAGGTTCCTCAAAAAATTAAAAATGGAACTGCCTATGACCCAGTCCTACTTCTGGGAATATATCTGAAGAAACCCAAAACTCTAATTCAAAAGAATATATGCACCCCTATATTCACTGCAGCATTATTACGACAGCCAAGATTTGGAAGCAACCCAAGTGCCCATCAATAATAGATAAGTGGATTAAAAAATGGTGATACATATATATACAATGAAATATTAGCCATAAAAAAGAATGAAAACTCGCCATTTGTGCCAACATGGGTGGACGCAAAGGGTATTATGCTAAGTGAAATAAGTCAAAGACAAACACCATATGATTTCACTTATATGAGGAATCTAAAGAACAAAATGAACAAAATGGAAACAGACTCATAGGTACAGAGAACAGACGGATGGTTGCCAGAGGGGAGAGGGGTTGGGGAGCTGGGTGAAAAAGGTGAATGGATTAAGAAGTACAAATTGGTAGTTACAAAATAGTCACGGGGACATAAAGTCCACCTTAGGGAATATGGTCAGTATTGTAATAACTATGTCCAGTGCCAGATAGGTACTGGAAATACTGGGAGGAACACTTTGTATTGTCTAACTACTATGTTGTATACTTGAAACTAATACAAAATAATATTGAATGTAAACTGTAATTGAAAAATAAAATTTAAATTAAAAAAAAGAAATATGAGTAAGGAAACAATGATTATGAGCTGAATTCTTTTCCTTTGAAGGACATTATTGGGACATTTGATAAAACATGAATGGACTCTAAGGATTAGATGATAGTAATACATCGATATTAATGTCCTGATTTTGCTGATTGTATTGTGGTTAGCTAGGAGAATGTCCTTATTTGTAGGAAATACAGTATTTGGGTGATGGGACATCAGGTCTGCAACAGTCTCAAGTGGCTCAGAGGAAAAAAAAAAAAGTTATTTGTACTATATCTAAGTTTGTTTTTAAAATAAATGAGACTGATTTTATAAAATAAACTAGGTTGCACCATTTATTCCCAATGCTCCTGTAGATGCCACCGTCCTCAAAATCCAAAGTATGGGAACAACTACAATAGTCAACCATCCTAAACCAGCAGTTTTCAACCTTTTCATCTCAGGGCACATGAACTCATTACTAAAATTCTATCACACCAAAAAAAACCAAAAACATTTTTTGCCTATCTAACCAAAAAAGGGGTATAATTTTGATTCATTCACACCAGACGGCTATTGTTGTGTAGGCTGCTGTCATTTTTTTTAAATTTTTTTTGACACTCTAAGGGGAAAAGGGGTCAGTGCCCCTGACTTAGATAGTCAGGTATTGCATGTTTTAAAACTTATTGTAGCTCGCTGGTTGAAAATCGCTGTCCTAAACCACCAGGGACAAACCTGCGGTCCAACGAAGTCAGGTTTATCGATTCGTTGCAACAAAGGAGACTGAACGCCAGGGGAACTGCAGGTGTCTCACCATAGAGGAGAGAGTCATAGGATTTGAGTGGAAGGCGGCCGAGGCAAAACTTAGAGGAAGCAGCACTGACAGGCTCAAAGCAGAGCGGCTGTGCGTAAAGGCCTCGAATCGGACCTGCACTGAAGTGGATGTAGGCTCCCGTTTCACTGGAAACTACAAAGCTGAGAGAATACGGGGTGCTCTTTCCAGGCGCCCCTTCTCAGAGCTCCGCCCCTGTTAACGCTGCAATTGCCTCTACCTGACACTGTCATCCATCCTGGTGAACGGCTGGGAACCGCTTTCTTTCTCAGCTGCTGACACTGAAAACACACTCGGTCTCTCAGACCACAGCTAATCCTCCTCTCGGGGCCTCGAGCGAGTTCTGGGTTCGCCTGACTCGCTTTCTTCTCATTTCGAACCCGAGCCTCCCTTGCAGCCGGGACATCACGCGCGGGTGAGGAGGCCTCTTTCTCAAAGCGCCGGTTCAAGCTTTCCGCCTTCCCAGGCTGCGCGCAGTGATTGGGCGGGGCCTGCCCGCTCTTCTCAATTCCTATTGGGTGAAACCCACGCCTCTCGTCGCGCTGGGGGCGGGACGAGGCGCTGGAAGATGACGCCACAGCAGCGGGGCCGGAACTTTCAGCTGCTCCCGGCTCTCCACAGGCTGAGGGCGCTCGCTAGGACAGTCCCGGCGGCGGCGCCTCCGCAATGACCGTCTGTCAGTTCTTCCTTCAAGGCCGGTGTCGCTTCGGAGAGCGGTGCTGGAACGAGCATCCCGGCGCCCGGGGTGCGGGCGGGGGACGGCAGCAGCAGCCCTCAGGTGACGTTGCCCTCTGTCCGCGCCGCTGCTAGCGGAGTGGGACGGGCCTGACGTGGGGCCCAGAGGGGAGAGGACGGGCGTCCCGCTAGGGGCTCGGCGCAGCAACCTGCGCAGTTTCTTTCCGACGGTTTTACCCGCGTTTAGACACTGGGTCGGTCGGTTTTCGTTGAGCGGAGGAAGCCAGGGGCGTGGTCCTGGGTACCGGCGCGGAACAATGAGTTTTCAGTCGGCTGTGCCTGTCAAAACTGCCCCGTCGGTGGGTGGCAGTGGTCCGGGCAATTGGCGTCGGTTGACCCAGACGCCTCTCGCTTTACTATACCCTTCTGGTCGCTTGGTTTTTTACCCCTTGACTCGACTATAATGCTTACTAAACTTGTTTTCTGAGGGAGAGGCTAGCAACTGGGGTCAGAGTCAGGGCTCTTTGGGGAAGTCACGAACTCCTTTGGAAATACAATAAAATCTTAGCCATGCCTCAGACAGCTGTACATGCTCATGAAACCTGGGGTAAAATTGGGAGGATGGGATGCCCAACTAAGAACTCTGGGCTATGAGGGAACGGGGTGTAGGGGACCACGCGGACCTGCTCCCTGGGCCTGTCATTGCCCAAGGTTTCGGAAAATTTCATTAAACCAATTATGGATGATGCAAGGAGCACTGTCTTCGAGGAGAGGAGGCGTCAGACATGAAATCATAGTACAGCACAAGGTTTTAAAGGTCTGATGGAGAGGTGTTATTTTCTTAGAATTGGAATTTAGCCTTAAAGGTATCACAGGATGCTGACCCCCTCACGCATTCCCCCCTCCCTTCCCTTTTTTAGAGGCATTCATCTCACCTTTCCACCTTGAGTGGCATTGTGGTTTCACACCTGATCCCTCTTCTTGAAACAGTCTTTTTGCATTACCCACAATAAGTGTAATGAAATATTCCAAACCAAAAACTAGGACTCCGGGTCTGATAAATACGAGTGTACTTCCATGAAAAACAGAATGTAATATTTGACATTCCGTAGAGACTCACTCTAAATGTAATTAGAAAATAAATGTTAAATGGGTATATTAATTGATGAAAACGTAATAACACTCGATAAGTAAACAGTGTATTTAGTGAGATGGAGGAGAGACAAGGTGGCAGCGTAGGTAACCCCGGTCCCCGCTGCCTCCCACAACAACATCAAAATTACAACTAAAATACAGAACAACCATCACTCAGAACCTCCTGAAATCTGGCTGAACAGAAGCCCTACAACCAGAGAACTGAAGAAGCACTGAGACCACTAGGAGGGGAGGAGGTGTGGGTGGATCGGGGCTGGATCGAGGTGCTGCGGGTTAAACCTGGGAGGGAAGCTCTGCGGTGGAGGTTCCCAGAGGAAGGAGGGGTCCCTGCCCCACAGCAGGCCCCCAGCCCAGGGCCAGGAAGAGAAGTCCCACAACTTTGGGCTGTGACAACCAGCGGGAACTGTTGCTGAGGGTCACAGAGGCTGCGGGAGCCCCAGGCTTTCCTCTTAAAGGGCCCGCGCACGGACTCACTCAGACGGGCTCCCTCTGAGCCCCAGCGCCAGACAGCAGCCTGAAAGGAACCTGGGACACTTAGAGAGGAACTAACCTGCCTGAAATCGGTCGAGAGGTGGAGGGGCGGCTTCCTCCCAGGCAGAAGAGCTGGCAGAGGCCATTGCTCCGTTGGTGAGCCCTCCCCACACACAGCCAGCAGGCAGGCACCATATTTGAATTGTCAGCACCTGACTCACACCTTTGGCCATGCCCCGGTGATTCCCGGAGACCCTGCCCCTCCCCACCTGCAAGCTCATCCAAGCCGTTTCCAGGGGCTTTTCTGTGCAAGGGGCCTCTCAAGCCTCAGGCTTAGGACTTTCCTTAAATTCTCTCAAACAAGCAGCAGCTGGCCTCAGCGTGCCGCATATGGCTTGATAAGTGGCCTCAGGCCTGGCACTAGTGGCAGCCTGCATTGGTTCATAGCTTGGCCTCTCCTGGACAATGCCAAACCCAGCACAAGTAGCAGCCAACTACGATTTGCTGTGTAGCTCATGCTGGGTGGCCCTGGGCAAGGCACTGGCAGAGGCTGACTTTGCACCTTCTGGGAGGCCCCAGAGACAGTGCACCTTGTGGTCAGACCCTACCATGCTGGATTACAACCCTACCACATCCATGAGTGACACACTCAAGGGGCGCACTTGGTGAACACCAAAGCTCCACTGAAGTAAGTTCTGCTCCATAAGGATGTCTCCAGCACAGCAGCTCTTTGACTGTAGTTACAGCTGGTCCTCACAGCCAGTTGACCTGGGGTTCAATTCCTCCCAGTGACACCAACAGCAACCAAGGCTCAACTACAACAGGACAGTGCACACAACCCACACAGGGGAGCACCTAGAAGGCCCAGCTCCGGTGACTGGGGAGGCTGAGCCACTAGACCCTCCAGGACACCTACTACACAAAGCCACTCTACAAATTCCAGGAGACAGAGCAGCTCTGCCTAATACATAGAAACAAACACCTGGAAGCAGCCAAAATGTGGAGGCAAAGAAACATGTTACAAAGGAAAGAACAGAAGAAATCTCCAGAAAAGGAACTAAATGAAATAGATCCAAGCAAGCTACTAGATCGAGTTCAGAATAATGGTTATAAGCATGCTCAAAGATCTTAGTAAGACTATTAAGGAAACTAGTGAGATCATCAATGACATAATAAAGTACCAATCAGAAATGAAGGCTACACAAACTGAAATAAAGACTAATTTACAGGGAATCAACAGTAAAGGACTCTGAGAATCAAATCAGCAATTTGGAACATGAGGAAACAAAAAACACCCAACCAGAAGAGCAAAAAGAATCCAGAAATATGAATATAATGTAAAGAGTCTCTGGGACAACTTCAAGTGGCCCAACATTTGTATTATTGGGGTGCCAGAAGGAGAAGAAAGAGCAAGAAACTGAAAACCTATTTGAAAAAATAATTACAGAAAACTTCCCCTACCTGGGGAAAGAAATAGACTTACAAGTCCAGGGAGCAGAGAGTCCCAAACAAGAGGAACCCAAAGAGACCCACAGCAAGACACATCATAATTAAAATGCCAAAGGTTAAAGACAAAGAGAGAATCTTAAAAGCAACAAGAAAAAAGCAGTTAGTTACCTACAAGGGAGCACCCATACGACTGTCAGCTGATTTCTCAAGCTTTGCAGGCCAGAAGGGAATGGCCAGAAATATTCAAAGTGATGAAAAGCAAGAACCTACAACCAAGATTACCCAGCAAAGCTATCATTTAGAACTGAAGGTCAGATAAAGAGCTTCTCAGACAAGGAAAAGCTAAAGGAGTTCATCACCACCAGACCAATACTACATGAAATGTTGAAGGATCTTCTTTAAGAAGAAGCTAATGAACAAAACAAGCTGACAGACTAAATAGATCCAGAGACATTGAAGCATACAACAGATGGTTGTATCTCAGAGGGAAGAGGGAAGGGGTATGGAGGGTGGGAAGAGATTAACCAAAGAAGTTATATGCATAACCCATGGACACAGACAATAATGGGTTAAAGGCCTGGGGAAGGGGTAGGAGTGAGGTGGAGGGGAGAAGTGGGGGGAAAAATGGGAGACCTGTAATACTTTCAACAATAAAGATAAATGTTTTAAAAAACCAACAGTGTATTGAGCTACACAAAACAGTGGATACTTCTGGAATTAATAAGTATGAAGGCCAAAAGCTATATACAAAAAATTAATTAAAATTTCTTCAGTTGTGTCATTCCCCAAAGGATTTGGAACTTTAGAAAAATAAAATACCATTAATTCCTACTAGTGGAGTCTGGTCCAGCAATCTGCTGCCTTTTCTCTGGTTTTATTAAGGAGTTTTAAAGTTGGGAGATGAATTTTAATAGAGGAATATATCTCCCATCACTCCACTATTTAATATATTTAATGGAATATCTCCAATTCTGTGAGTAACAAGGTGAATTATCTTGGACCCAACTAGGAAGTGATGAGTAATTGAGATAGTTTAAGTGATGAGATTTTTAAAAAATATAGAGACTAAGAGGATAGATTCCTATTGGCTCCTTTTGATAATTATGAAATATTAGTAATATGCTCATAATAGAGGAACTCGGTGCACTTTATTTACATGTAAATCATCTTTATAATCTCCCTATGAAATTTAGGTGGGTATGTGTTTTACCAGAGAGAAGACTGAGTCAGACAGATGTAAGCATCTTTTCAAGGACAGAGGGTAGAATTTAAGCTTTTATATTCAACAAACTTTTTGGTACTCCCCATTTTTCAGACTTTATTACTATATCAGGCCCAGTGGGAGAGCAAAGATGATAAAGACAGCTTTTTATCCTGAAGGAACTTATGATTTAGGATGTGTGTCCTTTAGCCACTCCACTACCAAGCCAGTTTACTTAATAAGCTAATGTCAGCTAAATTTAGTAGTACATCATTACTTTTCTAGGGATTTACTGTCCTCTCAATCTTTTTAGCCAGAATACAATTAGACTGTTGTGCGATTTGTTGATATTACACTGAACTACAGTATATAAGTCAAAAATGAAGAGTTCTGTGATTTAAAATGAGTGGAAATGTTGAATGTTTGCATGTCTGCATGTAATGAGACAAAATATGTAATTAAATTTTTAGAGATTTAAAAGATGAGTTGCTTGTAAAACTGTTTTATTTTATTGCTTATTTCAGGTAGTAACAGACGTGGATGGAATGCCACCAGCCAGAGATACTCCAGTGTTATCCAGCCATCCAATTTCTCCAAATCTACACCATGGGGGGGCAGCAGAGAGCAAGAAAGGCGATCTTTTGTTTCTTTTGATTCTGGAGATTCAACTGATAGGAACAGGGGGTTTGGGTTGCCTCAGAACCCATTTGCTTCTTCACCCAGCTCTGATGCACAGAATGATGAAAAGAAATTTCTGTAAGTGAAAGCATTCAGAAAAATTACTACCCATTTGCTTATTTTTTTTAAAAACTACTTATATATTTTTTAAAGAAATAATACATTATTTTAAAAATCAGGATAAGCAAAAAAGAAAAAGCATTCATGATCCTATCACTCAGAGAGAACCACTATCATACTAGACTGTATTTCACTCAAAAATGTGTCGTCTCTCCGTATCGGTACAGTGCCTTCTTAGGGCTTATTGTGCATTTTCTACTTTTCTCTTGGTAACACTATATTGTGACTGTCTTTCTAAGGTAGTCCTGCTTGAGTTTGTTGTAAATTATGAGACCTTTACAAAGTATGAGGTGATTTAAAGCAACTTGTAATCTTGGAATATAAACTACGTTTATATAGCATCTTGTATTTTTCTAAAACTTTTACTTCATTTACCTCATTCCAGTTTATTTCATTCCTTATTGTAAAGTAAATTCCTTACCATTTCTTGAGGACATTTGTAGTAGAATTTATGACTGATGCCAAAACAATGCCTGGCTATCTGTAATTTCCTTGAGCTTCTGGCTCCCAGGACAGAAATATACTTGATAGTCTTTTACTTTCCATAACTAAATTAGAACCAATGGTAAACATTTTGATCCATGTACCATAAACTACTGATTTTTTTTTTAAAAGAAAAATCAAATGAACCCCTCCTTCCTGTATTTGATGTTGTAAAAATCCTAAATTTAATATAGATTCTCTGTGGCATCTATTATTAATTGTAGTATTCTGGATGGTGTGGGAGGGGATTTAATTTAGAGCCAACTCTATCCATAGCTTTGCCAACAAATTAACTGTATGGGTTTAGGTCTGTTTCCCCCTTTTGAAAAATGTGAGAATTAGACAAAATGATCTCTAAAGTCCCACCCCTTTTAAAAATGTTATCCTTCTATATTATGTGGTACTTTCTGTTTTTCCCAGTTAAATGATCATTGATATTTATGATAATGAACAAATGATTAAAGTTGTATTGTGTATTTGATTATATTTTAGTTCTTTAATATATGTATGATACAATAGTTCTCAGTTAAATGTTTTGGTTAATGATTTCGTGTACTGGAAATACCAAAATTATGAACTTCGTTAGTATTATAATAATACCCATAACATGAAATGTAGTTTATATTTCTATAAGCTGTTTAAAGAACACTGGAGGAAATGTAATGGGGAAAAATATATATATATATA